ATATTACATACATTTATAAAAATATTATAAAATAATGAATTATAATGGAAATTTTAAACCGGCAGTCAAAGTGGACATGGGCTGACCACTTTGAACACCTAGGTGTGGGCAAAGTGAACAATTTTGTACTTTAAAAAAAAATGACAATAACTATTTATTTATTTGTTTAAAATTGTTTCTGATTGGAAATTATGATTCCTGACAATATCAACAAGACAATCTTGAAGGTTTCATAAAAAAATAAATAAATCCTAAAGTGCGACACTGTGTTGAACCTTAGGGTGGCCGCTTTGGACACCTTTCCTCTACTATTTGGAGGTTGGAGGATACCCGTTGGAGATTGCTGCTCATCTGTTCTCAGACGCCCTGATGATCAATTGGGACTCTGATCCATCCCCAGATGTATATAATATCTTTGACTTGGTAGACCAGGAAACAGACGAACTAGTATTCACACGTCCGCTCCCGGAGTTAACGACTGAAGAGCTCCTCACAGCGATTAAACGTCTCTCTGCGGGCAAGGCTGGAGGCCCATCGGGGATCCTCAATGAAGTGCTGAGGCGCAAGGTTGCAGCCATTCCCAACCAATTCAAGGAGACGTACAACAGATGTCTTCGGGTGACGTGTTTCCCTGCTTGCTGGAAGARGGCAAAACTGGTGCTACTACACAAGGGTCCAGGGAAACCCATAGATGTCCTTTCCAGCTACCGGCTGATATGCCTCTTAGATACCCCATGCAAASTGTTAGAGAGACTGCTTGTTCAAAGACTAGAGAGCCATTTTGACGCCCAAGCGACGAGGAGAGCCCCAATTCARTTTGACTTCAGGAGAGGTATCTCTACAAAAACGGCCATCGCATCCRCCCTCGAGATCGCATTTGCAAGCACAGCTGCGACCCKAGGGCGTACAAAGGACCTCTGTGTGCTCGTAACACTGGATATAAGAAATGCTTTTAACACGCTCCGATGGACTGTTATTGACGCAGCTCTCAGGRAGAAGTCTACGCCTGAGTACCTCGTCTCGATGTCGCGGTCCTGRCTGTTAGAGCGCGTATTATTGGTGGACGATGCGGACTCTTTCAGATCAGTGACCTGTGATGTTTCTCAGGACTCAGTATTAGGGCCAATCCTTTTAAATGCTGCCTATGATGACCTTTTGATGATGCCAGTACCCGCAGGTGTTTATCTGGTAGGGTTCGCTGATGATCTGGCCGTTGTTGGTGTGGTGAGAACGGAACTTTTACTAGAGGAGTTAATCAACCCTGTGTTGGAGTGGGTGGATAGATGGGTGTTGATTAGAGGCCTTGAGCTCGCTCATCAAAAGAGCGAGGCTGTAATGTTAACTAGGAGATGGGCATATGCACCCCCGAATTTATCGATAGGCAGGCGCGGATCCAGCCCGAGATTAGGGGGGGGAGGCGAATATTTTACATACAAAATGAAATATCTAATAAAATATAATATGTGGGCAAGCGCACATATTTGTGTTCAAAAATAAGTAGTCCATCGACTATCGTTATCGCTAATTCCAAGAATAGCTCT